CCCTTTCCATTGACCGCCCGAAGCACCTGCTTCCTTCTCTGGTGCCTGGAGCTGGTCCTGGTTTCAGAGTGGTAGCCGTGTTAGTCTGTATCAGCAAAAAGAATGAGGAGTACTTGTGGAACCTTAGAGACTAACAAATTTATTTGGGCATAAGCTTTTGTGTGCTAAAACCCACTTCATCAGATTACAACCACATTTGCTCCAATCCCTCAGACAGAGACAAACACCTACAAGATCTCTATCAAGCGTTCTTAAAACTACAATACCCAGCTGCTGAAGTGAATAAACAGATTGACAGAGCCAGAAGAATACCCAGAAGTCACCTACTCCAGGACAGGCCCAACAAAGAAAGTAACAGAACGACACTAGTCATCACCTTCAGCCCCCAACTAAAACCTCTCCAGCGCATCATCAACGATCTACAACCTATCCTGAAGGACGATCCCTCACTCTCACAGATCTTGGGAGACAGGCCAGTCCTCGCTTACAGACAGCCCCACGACCTGAAGTAAATACTCACCAGCAACCACACAACAAAAACACTAACCCAGGAACCTATCCTTGCAACAAAGCCCGATGCCAACTCTGTCCACATATCTATTCAAGGGACACCATCATAGGACCTAATCACATCAGCCACACCATCAGAAGCTTGTTCACCTGCACATCTACCAATGTGATATATGCCATCATGTGCCAGCAATGCCCCTCTGCCATGTACATTGGCCAAACCGGACAGTCTCTATGCAAAAGAATAAATGAACACAAATCAGATGTCAAGAATTATAACATTCAAAAACCAGTTGAAGAACACTTCAACCTCGCTGGTCACTCAATTACAGACCTCAAAGTCGCAATATTACAACAAAAAAAACTTCAAAAACAGACTCCAACGAGAAACTGCAGAATTGGAATTAATTTGCAAAATGGACATCATTAAATTAGGCTTGAATAAAGACTGGGAGTGGATGGGTCATTACACAAAGTAAAACTATTTCCCCATGCTAATTTTTTTCCCCTACTGTTACACCTTCTTGTCAACTGTTGGAAATGTACCATCCTGATTATCACTACAAAAGTTTTTTTTTCTCCTGCTGATAATAGCCCTCCTTAATTGATTACTCTCGTTATAGTTGGTATGGCAACACTCATTTTTTCATGTTCTCCGTGTATATATATCTTCCTGCTGTAGTTTCCACTGCATGCATCCGATGAAATGGGTTTTAGCCCGCGAAAGCTTATGCCCAAATAAATTTGTTAGTCTCTAAGGTGCCACAAGTACTCCTCGCAGGGGTGAAAGTAATTTACAGGACTTACTGGTACGTCCGGAGTCCTGAGCGGGGGCATGGCCTCACCCAGAAGAGGCATGGCCTCAACTGCAAGAGGTGGGGCCTCTCAAGATTTAAAGGCCCTGGGGCACTGGCTGTGGCTGGGAGCTGCAGGGCCTTTAAATCACCCCAGGGCTCCCAGCTGCTGAGGTGGCTGGGAGCCCCCAGGGCTCAGGGGCAAATTAAAGGGCCCGGGGCTCTGGCCGCCGCGGAGCTCCGGGCCCTTTAAATCCCCTCTGCGGAAGCCGATGCAGTCTGGCACGGCATACTGGCTCTTGCCAGTACGCCGGACCGGACTGGACTGGCTTACTTTCACCTCTGACTCCTCGTTCTTTAAGTTATCTGAGGCTCATGATCTACGCCAGTTACACTATGCTAATTTTTGATGTTTTCCTGGCTGCATCCCAGGCCCATCATCCTCAGGTAAAATAAACCTAGGGGGGGAGGGATAGCTCAGTGGTTTGAGCATTGGCTTGCTAAACCCAGGATTGTGAGTTCAGTCCTTGAAGGGGCCACCTAGGGATCTAAGGCAAAATCAGTACTTGGTCCTGCTAGTGAAGGCAGGGGGCTGGACTTGATGGCCTTTCAGGGTCCCTTCCAATTCTATGAGATAGGTATATCTCCATATATATATATATATATATATATATAAACCAGGATCCCACTTCAGCATGCATTTAATTTTAAATGCTTGAGTCCTCCCATGACTCCAGTGGGATTACTGGCATGCATAGATTTAAGCACATGCTTACGTGTTTTACTGACTGAGGTGCTGCTGCCCACTTATACAATGCATAAAGATATGAGGGGCAAGGTGTGTGTGTCTTTCCTATGAATCTCTTGGGTTTGACAGGAGAGCCATCCAGCTAACTCTGGGCCTTCAGAGCTGGTTTATGGATTAAAATAAAAGAAGCTTTACACTGGACTGGATTCTACTTTTTGTGCCATGTGAAATCACCATGGAAATCATCACATGACAGTGTGAACTTGGTTTCTTTGTTGAAGAATCCTGGATGTGCTGTTGTCAGGGCCGGCTCTGGCTTTTTGGCCGCCCCAAGCAAAAAAAAATCCTGCGGCGCGGCCGGAGCGCGGGTGCAGGGGACCGGCTGGGGGGGAGGAAGAAGGGCGAGGGAGTGGGCGGGAGAGAGAGAGAAGGGGGCGGCCAGGGCTACAGCAGGGGCGCTGCCACACGGCCCCTCCCGCTGCGCCGCCTCCTGCCGCCTGCCACGAGGGCTCCGCTCCGGTCGGCGGGGAGGGAAGGAAGAGGACTGCCCTGCAGGGCACTCTGGTTCTCCGCGCCGCCGCCCCCTACAGAATTGGGCAGAATGCCGCCTCCAACAATCTGCTGCCCCAAGCACCAGCTTGCTCAGCTGGTGCCTGGAGCCGGCCCTGGCTGTTGTGAGAAGTGTTTATTCCATGTCATGAAGAAGCTGTAAATGTGTGAAGCTGGGCTATATCAGCAGGTAGATGTAGCATTTTGATAGCTCCAGCCAAGCTGGGGAAATTAAGTATATATATATCTATATGCCTTCATAACTCCTGAGTCCCTGTAGGGATAGTTAAAATATTTCTTTTTGCTCTTAATCAATTGTTACTATGGAGAAAACTGAGTTAGAACAACACAGGAATGTGAAAAAAGTCAGTAAATGAAATTGTCAGAGAATTCTGACAATCATCAGACTGGAAAAATTCTCAAAAAAAGTGAGCCCACACTCCCCTTTTCTTCCATATATGGGTTTGACTTTCTTTTTTTTTAAACAAGGAAACATATCTGATCCCAGACAGTTACATTCTTTCCCAACTTGACTTTCACTGACAGCTGTGGGTTTTATGGTTTGTTTTGTTGTTTATTATACAAGGAGATAGTTATTGCACATTTGTTAGCTTGCTATAAAACTATAAGCAAAGACAAGGCACTTATAGTTTTGACTGGGAGATAGCCAGGCAGGATCAGCACTATATATACCCACCCACCCTTCCTGGCTGAACTTGCCTAATTTCCTTGTGGCAACACTATAGTGCCTTATCTCCACCTAAGTTTTTGTAGCGGAATAGCTAACATCCATTCACTATCTCAAAGTAAAGCAAAGACAAAGCCACTGTGTCAAGTGTCAGTGAAGAAAAAACTCTTCAGTAAAGACTCAGGTGAACATGAGTTAACTTTTCTCAAGTTAGCCTAGCTCAAATGAGAGCGGCCACACTATGAAATAACACTTCAGCTGTACAGTGAGTTGTTAGCAGTTGAACAAGTTGGGCTAATTTGAGCTGTAGCTGCTTATGGCCAACTCAAGTTAAAATAATAATACTTAGCTCATATATGGCTCTTCTGAGCTGTAGATTTTAAAGCACCTTCACAATCTTTTGATATATTTATCCTCCCTGGGAGGCAGGGAAGTGCTATTATTATTCTAATTTTACAGATGGGAAACTAAGGTGCTAAGAGACTTGCCCAAGGTCATACAGGAAGTCCATGGCAGAGCAGGGAATTGAACCCCAGGTTTCCTAAATCCTAATCCAGTAAGCACTTCCCACCTCAAATTAAGGATTATTGTGCCTGGCAACACTGGAGTTAATTGTGCAGTGAACACAAACCTCTAAATTACTGCCTTAAATGGAAGTGCTGGGTGACTAGTGAAGGAGGAATGGGCAACTCCCAATTGCAGGGGATCTCAAATTGTCCCCGGGGGGAATAATATTGATGAACCCTTTTCCTGCAAGCATTTCCAACATCCTATGCTCCCCAAATTGCCCCATAAAATGCTTTCACTTTCACCCCTTTAAAACTACATGGAGCAGCATCAGCCCCCAATGCAATCTATAGGCCCAGAATCTAGGTCCATTTTTTTTTTCATTTTAATTTTGCCCACCTCCCATACATATTTCTTGCCTTTATGAAAACACAATTCCTGGAGACATATTACCTTAATCTCCTAGCTGCTGTAATACTGTGATCTAATTTTGGTTGTTGGGTTTAGTGTGCAGGTGCTGAGTGTTGTGGGTGGCCTGTGAGATAGGGGAGGTCAGACAAGATGATATTTGTTGGTCCCTTCTGTGCTTAAACTTAATGACACAAACTAATCCCTTTGGGTTATTTTAATCTTCAACTCCAGCATGACCTAGATGAGTTAATTTCAGCTGAACAATACTTACTGCCAGGAATACAAGAGTCCTGCTTCAATATTGAAATCAACAGCCAGTGAGCAGTATGAATTTACAGGGGGTCACAAACAAAGCTGTGGACAGCTTGCGGGGCCGGCTCCAGGCACCAGCCCAGTAAGCAGGTGCTTGGGGCGGCCAAGGGAGAGGGGCAGCGCGTTCGGCCTGCGATCGCAGCTTTTTTATTATTATTTTTTTTTGTATTTTTCTTTTTGCTGCTTGGAGTACAAAAACCCTGGAGCCCGCCCGGACAGCTTGGAGTTTGTTTCTGATCAGCAACTCATCAGGGAGAAGGGAGCAACACAGAATTCTGCCTGTGGGTGTAACTGACTCACACTGATTTGGGGCAACAGGTTTTCTGAACAGCGCCTGAATCTGGCAGATTAAAACCCCAGAATTCCTTGGAATTTCGCACTGTGTTTGAGAAACTTTTTCTAAGGAATTATTCGTGACAGTGCTGCAGCGTTTGTTGATACCCGTCCCCAGCCGGAAGGAGGGTCTGATTTAGCGCCTGCGACTCTCTTTGCCGGCCGGGACAGCGCTCCGGCCATGCGCGCTCTGGGGGGCTCCGGCCTGCAGGCGCTGCTCTCAGGTGAGCAAGGGGGCGCGGCGCTGGAGGAGGGGTGGGAGGGGGAAGAGCCGGGAGGGACCGGCAGGGAAGTTCGGCGACCGCAGACCAAGGCGGGGCCGTGGGGCTGTTTTGCAGCGTCTGTGGTCTGGCCCCTTGTGGCGCAGAGCTTGAGGCCCTGGAAAGCCCGGCCCTGGCAGATCATATCACTCTTGATTCAATTCTTTTGCCAGGTCTGCCGTACCCCCCTCCCCATCCCCCAGCGCTGGCTGCCATTGGTCAGTGAGGGGAGCAGGATCTGTCCCTGAAAAGGAGCGGGGAGGGGGGGGGGTGCACAGGATGCGGGGGTGGCGGGTTGGGAGCGTTTTGGGTTGCAGCGTGCGGTTGACATCAACTCCAGCTCCTCCTTCACTAGAAGCCCTATCCCCGGGCGGGCACGAAGGGTCCTCCTCTGCCACTGAAATCAAGGTGTGCCTGAGAAGTTGTCATAACTATAAACGGAAGGGTAACAACCCTCCTGTGTACAATACTATAAAATCCCTCTTGGCCAGAGGCACCAAAATCTTTTTTTGCCTGTAAAGGGTTAAGAAGGTCATGTAACCTGGCTGACACCTGACCCAAAGGACCAATAAGGGGACAAGATACTTTCAAATCTTAGGGGGGGGGGAGGCTTTTGTTTGTGCTCTTTGTTTTGGGAGTGTTCGCTCTTGGGACTAAGGGACCGGACATCAATCCATGTTCTCCAAATCTTTCTGAACAAGTCTCTCATATTTCAAACTTGTAAGTAACAGCCAGGCAAGGCATGTTAGTTTTATCTTTGTCTTCTCAACTTGTGAATGTTCCCTTTCTAGAGGGAGGTTTATCCCTGTTTTGTTGTAACTTTGAAACTAAGGCTAGAAGGGGTTCCTCTGGGCTCTTTGAATCTGATTACCGTGTGAAGTTATTTTCCATCCTGATTTTACAGAGATGATTTTTACCTTTTCTTTTTAATAAAATCCTTCTTTTAAGAACCTGACTGATTTTTCCATTGTCCAAAGACCCAGGGGTTTGGGTCTTTGATCACTTTGTAACCAATTGGTTAGGATATTATTCTCAAGCCTCCCCAGCAGGGAGGGTGCAAGGATGTTTCGCGCCCTAGGCGAAACTTCCACCCTGCGCCCCCCTCTCCCCGAGCCCTGTGGCAACTCCCCGCCCCCCCTGCCCTAAGGTGCCCCCACCCACAGAAGCTCCCCCCCCACCCTGAGGCACCCCCACTGCAGCAGCTCCCCCCCTCCGCCCTGAGGTGCCCCACTTCGCGGCAGCTCCCCCCAGCCCGGGGAGCCGTGCGGCAGCTCCCCGCCCCAGCTCACCTCTGCTCCGCCTCCACCCCGAGCACGCCGTTGCCGCCTCACTTCTCCTCCCTCCCAGGCTTGCGGCGCCAATCAGCTGTTTGGCGCCGCAAGCCTGGGAGGGAGAGAAGCAGAACAGGGCAGTGTGCTCAGGGGAGGAGGCGGAGCAGAGGTGAGCTGGGGCGGGGAGTTCCCCTGTGTGCTGCCCCCCCCTTACTTGCTGCAGGCGGCCCTCCCCGCGCCCCCCTGCCCCAGTTCCCTCCGCCGAAATGACGACGACAACCGGGGCAACTGAAGATCTGGCCACCGTGGTCGTCACTGAAGGACCCGAAATGCCACCCCCCCAAATGCTAGCGCCCTAGGTGACCGCCTAGGTCGCCTAATGGGTTGCACTGGCCCTGCTCCCCAGGAAAGGGGGTGTAAGGGCTTGGGTGGATATTTTGGGGGAAGAGGAACTCCAAGTGGTCCGTTCCCTGTTTCTTGTTAAATCATTTGGTGGTGGCAGCATATCAGGTTTTAACCTAAGCTGGTAGAAATAAGCTTAGGGGGCTTTCATGTGGATCCCCACATCTGTACCCTAGAGTTCAGAGTGGGGAAGGAACCCTGACAGAAGTGTAGCAGTTAAGGGCTGTTGTGTGTCTGTAACTGATTTGTGCTGTGAGGTCTGAACCTGCCCGCTGCAGGGAAGTTGCCCACATTGGGGAATGTGGCTCGGCCCCAGTGGTGAAGCCTAGAACTTGTTCTGCAAAGCTGCCTTTTCTTCCAGGGGGCTTGTGAGTTCGGATAGTCTTCAAAAGGTCCTGTGGTGTGGTGTAGCCCAGTCATTCCCTGAGTCAGTTGTCCTCCCATTACTGCTAAAAGACAAAGCCAAGAAACCTTCATACCAAACCGCCCACACCATCAAAGCCTTTGTCTGTACCACAGGCTGGCACAGAAAAGCTGTTTCAGGGAAGTTTAAAAAAAAAATGCTGTTGCTGTTATTTCTCATGCCCTTCTGTCTGCGGTGCCAGTTTTTCTCCTAGTGCCACAAGCTAAACTGTAAACACTTCAGGAGCAGAAGGAAACAAAAGTTGATACATTTTATAAACTTCCCCAAATAATCTGAGCTTGGTTTACCAGTCTGCATATTCACACTGTGATTTTTTTTTTAAGGGCAGATATTTTGTGATCGACCAGGGTTAGAAATTAAAGGTCCAATCCTGATTAAACCTTAGTCCCATGAGTGGTCCAAAAGAAACACCACTGAGGACAATGGGATGGTTTGCATGTGTAAGAACTGCTCCAGTGCAAAAGGTCTGCACCCTGGGCCCTTATGCAATTGGCAGCTCCCAAATGAGGTAAAACATCTATTTCTCTCCCTGCATTGGATTTTCAGTGGGCACTGAGCATTCTCTCTCTCAGATGCTTGTCTGACTTGTTCTTACTTGCGTGCTCAGGGTCTAACTGGTCAATGTATCTGGGATTGGGAAGGATATTTCCCCCAGGGGAGATTGGCAATGACCTTAGGGCATGCTGTGGGACCTCTGCAACATGTGGGCCACTTGCTTGGATTATCTGGATATATCTTACTTAAACATTTCCCTGCCATTGCAAGGACTTGGGCACTGGTGCATCTCGATCCCACCTATGCTCTGCCTGTGGCACATTATATTCTAGTCTCCTGTGGGCTGTAATGCTTTGGTCTCACTTTGGTTGTTGGGTTTAGTATGCAGGGGCTGGGTGGTGTTGGTGGCCTGTGATTTACAGGAGGTCAGATTAGATGATTCAGTGAGTAGTTTAAAGACAGATATCTCACTCCCCATCAGGGTTAAAAATGGGACCACAATTTGATTAGTAAGACCTTCCTAAAGATACTAAGCGTTTGTGTCTACTCTGGGAGACTGAGTTATTTTACCTTAAAATAAAGCCCAGCTATGACTGGGAAAACTATTTTTAACCAATCTGATCTGTGAATATTTTACACCGCTACCTCGATAGAACGCGACCCGATATAACACGAATTTGGATATAACGCAGTAAAGCAGTGCTCTGGGGGGGGTGGGGCTGTGCACTCCGGTGGATCAAGCAAGTTCGATATAACGTGGTTTCACCTCTAACGCGGTAAGATATTTTGGCTCCCGAGGACAGCGTTATATCGAGGTAGAGGTGTAATAGAGTCACAGATCATATATTGGACTTTGCCACCTATACAATCTTGCCTAGGATAAATAAAGAAATGATGCCTTGACTCAGGAAAGCACATGCTTAATTTTCAGCATGTGCTTACGCTGAACAAGGTGACTTCCTGAATTAGTGGCTGTATTTAGGAAAAGTTATTTCAGATATTTGTAGAGCTTTCTAATGCAGCTGAATTCCTCACCACAGAGTCATGGTAAGGGAGCATGGTTTTACAGATGGAGGGACATGAGGGGGTGTAGTGTGTAACTAATACATTAATCTATTATAAGAGCTGGATATGAGAGACTACTGCCTGATAGGTCAGGGATTGGCAACCTTTGGCACGGGGTCCACCAGGGAAAGCCCCTGGTGGGCTGGGCCGGTTTGTTTACCTGCCTCATCCGCAGGTTCGGCCGATCGCAGCTCTCACTGGCCGCGGTTCGCCACTACAGGCCAATGGAGGCTACGGGAAGCGGCATGGGCCGAGGGATGTGCTGCCCACCCTTCCCGCAGCCCCCATTGGCCTGGGACTGCGAACTAAGGCCAATGGGAGATGCGATCGGCTGAACCTGCGGATGTGGCAGGTAAACACTGGCCCGGCCCACCAGGGGCTTACCCTGATGGGCCGCATGCCAAAGATTGCCGATCCCTGTGATAGGTAATATGTAAAAAAGCTACGGGGGAAGAGAGGAAGTACTGATGCTTTTAAGTGCAAGTCCAGGATAGCAGCTTGGGTAGCCAATCCTTCAGGATTGTCCTGGAGTCTCCAGGAAATAAAGATGAATCTTTTTAATTTAAAGATTGTCATGTGATAAAACCTCCAGGAGTACATCATACAGGGGTAGGCAACCTATGGCACGCGTGCCAAAGGCAGCACGTGAGCTGATTTTCAGTGACACTCACACTGCCCGGGTCCTGGCCACTGGTCCCGGGTGGCTCTGCATTTTAATTTAATTTTAAATGAAGCTTCTTAAACATTTTAAAAACCTTATTTACTTTACATACATACATAGTTTAGTTATATATTATAGACTTCTAGAAAGACACCTTCTAAAAACATTAATTATTACTGGCACGTGAAACCTTAAATCAGAGTGAATAAATGAAGACTCGGCACACCACTTCTGAAAGGTTGCCGACCCCTGCGTCAGACCAAAATTGACAATCCTAATAGCAGCAGCGGCCTGGGCAGGGGACTGCCCAGTTGCAGGGCTCACAGAGGTTGGCTGAGGAGTGGCAGGTGCAGGCAGAGTGTTGCCTGCGATAACTGAACCAGTTACTCTTAAATCTTGCAAACAATTCTGCTTGGTGTTATGGGATTCCAGATTTTGTTTGGGCTCCCACATTTTCCTCCATGGATTCCTTTTTAAGGTTGCCCCTAACCCCTCTCTTCCATCCCTACCACCATTACCCCACTCAGCTGTGTAAATGCAGTGGGAGTTTTCAGAGCCAACTGACCATTCCCATCATCTGTCTTATCCTCCTAAGGCTGCTAATACCACCTCCTAGTTCTTATTTAGCACATCCATGGGTCTCTAG